TTATACTATGTGTTCGTCGCCCCCCCAGGGGCGACGCGCGCACCGAGTATAGTATACGCGTCGTGGCGGGCGCTTTCTGGCCACGCCGCTGGAGAAACGATATACTATAAGATGGGTATGCTATATGTTCGGGTCGGACGTGCGCCTCCAAAGACGGACATATAGTATCAGTACGTCTCTGTGCGTCCCATCCCAGGCTCCCCAGAGTTCCTGCCGCTCCGCACGCGCCTCCAGAGACGAGGGCCGCTGGGCACGCTCTGGCAGTCCCGGGACGCAGCCTGAGCCGATCGCGTCGTGGCATCCGCTTCGTCTTGAGCGCTCCCAGGGGGAGGCACCAAGGACTTGGTATCGCTCGGACGTCTGCACTTTTTCTCGGCGGGGATTGTTCAGGAGCATCCTGGATCATCCTGCGAAAAAAACACGCACGAAACCGAATAAAAAACACAGGGAATGGACGTCAGAGCGACGGGGAGGGGAGCGCCCAGTCGCCGCAAGCTAAGGTTCGCTCACGCAGCCACTCCCGGACGGGAGTGCCAGGAACCCAGATGCACACATGGAAACCTCAGCGCCGACCAATTGATGTTCTCATACGTACCCATCTGTCGTTGAAAGCAGGTATTTTGGGATTCCCAGAACCCAAGCTGATTCAAGCGCCTTCCTACTCGTAGAATCGGTATGCTTTTGCTGAGTGTTGTTACTCTCTGAGCGGGCCCGAACCCAATCTACTTTATCCGCTTTCCTACTTCATGTTTCTACCTACTTCTTGCGACCGATGGGTATCCACATCATCCGTTCGCAGCGTGTTCTCCTCGTCCTTCCTTGCGCAACGTCTGCTGGCGCCCCCCTCCGCGGTAGACACCATTCCAGCGGAGCTGGGCGCTGCCGCAGAAGCTGGCGATCAGACAAGTGGGCCTGCAACTCGTACGTATCCGCATCCTCCGTGCGCAGCGTGCTTCTCCTCGTCCTCCCCCTGGCGTCGCCTGCTGGCGCCCCCCTCCGCGGCAGACGCTCTTCCAGCGGAGCCGGGCGCCGCCGCAGAAGCTGGCGATCAGACCAGTGGGCCCGTCACTCCGCCGCCGCCGCCGCCCCCGCCGCCCGAGGCGCCTCCCCCCCCCCCTGGGCGTAAGTCGGGCCTGTCCCTCCACAGGGGGGAAATTTCAAAAAGGGCCACAACATGGCATGGGGGCGATGTTTGATGGTTCTCGATTCTTTTGGAGTGTGTTTTGCTATTCCTAAGGGTTCCTCCAACATCCACCTGTAGGAGGACATGCCCGACCGAACCCTGGGCCCTCCTTATCGGATGGCGTGCAGCGTTGTCCCGTCGCTTCGGATACTGCTCGCACTGCGAGCTGCTTCGCGGGCCTTCCCTGTCGCCCCTTTGGGTCCCAGACGGCACAAACACCACACACATACAAACACACAAACACACACAAACACACACACACACACATACAAACACACACACAACACACACACACACACACACACACACACACACACACACACACACACACACACACGCACACACACAAAGAAAAATTGCTTTCGAAACGGTTCCGCGAGGCCGTAAAATGGCCGAAGGGTTTGAAGGCGGTTCCGAGAAGCCCCTATGACGGCCCAACAGAAGTCAAGGAGACCCCGAGACTAGTTCCATAAGCCTCAATAGCGCCCTGGAGGCTACCCACGACAGCCCCAAGATGGCCCAGAGCGCCCCATGAAAGACCGAATGTGGGCGAGGAGACGGAGAAGGATGAGGGAAAACGAGGCGGATGAGACGGAAGAGGAAGGGAGGAAGGATGTCAGTGAGGAGGAGGCTAGACGGACAAGGAGCAAGAAGAGGAGGACGAAGGACAGGGAACGGGGCATGAAGAGCATGATAATCAAACATATGGGGAGAGGCGTAGTGGTAATATGAAGAGCAATTCAGAGAAGAGGGATCGAGGCGGAGGACGAGGGGTAGCCAATACAATTAATCGGGCATATCGCCTGTCAAAGCCTTCCCCCGGCGAAACCAGAAGACTCCCAGTTTCGCAGCGTGATTTGGCCATTAGCTCTCATTTGCCTGTCAAGCTGGCGAGCCTCTTGCAGCACCACCAAGAGGACATGATCGGATGGTCCTTGGCACGCTCCTCCCCAGAAGCGTTCATGAAGTCCTGCACCCACATGCCATTGAATGAATGCATTAGTGTATTTCTTGGTCGCTTTGCTTGATTCCGAGGAACGGCCCCTCTTGCGCCTGGCACGGCAGATCGCAGTGTAATGCAAGAGCTCTGGGTAGGAAGCAGACACCCGCAACGAGTTCCCTTTATTGCGGTGCCGAAGCTGGGCATCCCTCCGGCACCAGCAGGTGCCCGCCGGCTTCGCCACGGCCCAGGACCGCGCGGCTGCGGACGTCGACTTCGCCGACGAGAGCAGGTGCCGCAGCCCTTGTGACTCATTCGTGTCTCCTCGTCGTTCTCGGATGGGTTGAGAAACCCTCGACGCGACTGATGGTCGCCTTGCATCACCAAGACCAAGTGTAGCTTAACGGGAGCCGCCTAGGCAAGAACCGCGCGGTGGGGCAGGAGTTCGAGCGCAAGGGGAAGCCGAATGAGAAAGGAAGCGCCAGAGGGGATCGCTTGCGGCCAGTCAGGTTGTCATGTCTGGATTCGCAGTGTTGTTTAGATCCGGTGCGGCAGTTTTCCGGCCATCCGAAGTACTCGGAGATAACATCATGTTTGATGGCGAAGCCAGCCCAGAGGTGGATACACCGAGTGCATTTGCCAAGATACATCGAACCTGGGTGCGTCACGGGGACGCTAAACTTGTTTTGTCTTATTTGACTTTGAGCCCTGGGATGCCCTAGGAATGACCAAGCAACACCTACATCGGGGCAGGCAACGCACTCATTCTTCATCGGCGGAAACGCTAGTTAAGGGCAGTTGTCGCATCAGGACACAAAGCAATTGGGTATTCGAATGCGTTTCGAAACAAGTGCTCATGCGCATGGACAATGTGTAAAGGTTCAGGTAGGTCCTTGTGTGCTTGAGTTTATTTAGCCGTGGGACGTTCGTGGACGTTGTCGGGAGCACAGCGTTCCTTCGGAGAGTCCTGCCCACGAGTGAGATGACTGTGCGGGCGCAAGATGTGATCCCCACAATGGTCTTGCCGGCTGGCAGGTACATGGAGGGACCCGACGGGGAGAAGCTGCTCAAGTGGAAGGTCGACTACGCAAACCGCGGGGGCAGCGGGAGGGCTATGTGCAGGGATCTCGACTGCCTCGAGCGGCACGACCAGGCAGCTGCCCTCCCGGAGCGGACGGCCAGGGCGGATCGCGGGCCGGGCAGGGTCGAGACGCAGGCACACGTGCAGATCGGAGGCGACGACAGGGGCGAGTAGCCCAAGGGGGGAGCAACACACGCATTCGCCCGGGAACTTCGCCGAAGGCATAGACGCCCCTGGATACGTGTATTGATCTCCCTTGAGCTAATCGCCCTCGTCGTCGCCCCTGACCAGAGCACTCGTCTTCGGTGTCAGCCTCTTGCGCGTGGGCATCCCTGGCGGGGAGGCCTGAAGGCAGCAGCTCCGGTCTGCATCTCCGCAGCGCGTGCGTGCCTTCCTTTGTGGGTGGCCCTTGTGGCACCCAGAGCTGCGATCCAGAAGAGCTGCACCTGGACATGCCGACATGCACGTGCGACTGATGCCACACAAACAGTAACCTGAGGAGTGGCAGTTCGCAGCGTTCCCGCCCGCCCGTGCGTGCGCGGAGGCCGGCGTGCGGACGATTGAGAAGGGCGCGTTGCGCATCGGCCGGAGGGTGCTCATGGAGAAGGATTCCCGCGCAGTTCTCCAGCACGGCGCCCCCGGCGCTGATTCTGGTGTATATTGTCTTTCTTTTTTCGTTGTCCTTTCTCTCTCACTCTCTTTCTCTCTCTCTCTCTCTCTTTCTGTCTCCCTCTGTCTCTGTCTCTCTCTCTCTCTCTCTCTCGCTCTCTCTCGCCATCTCTCTCGCTCTCTCTTTTTTTGTTTCTCTCTCTCTCTCTCTCTCTCGCTTTCTCTCTCCATGAGGGAAGCGGGTCCTCAGGAAAACGGGCCTTTTGCATGGAGGTTCACCACTGATCGCCGCTTCCCTCGGTGCAAGAGGAGCCTTTTTGGGCCAGACTTCCTAGTTGCAGCCCCCGTTTGGGGGGCCTCCTGAACCCGACATGCGACGACAGCTCTTGTTTGTGCAACGTGGACCCAATGATGTCTCATGTCCAACGCCTGCTAAAGGATTAATGGCCCCCATCCTTCCGCCCCCCTTGGATCCCAACTGCCGTTGCTTCGCCGCCGAATAATGTTTGTTCGACCTGTCCCCCCTGGAACATATCCCACGGAGACAGCAACGATGCGAGTTATACATATATATACATACATACATACATACATACATACATACATACATACATACATACATACATACATACATAGATAGATAGATAGATAGATAGATACATACATACATACATACATACATACATACATACATACATACATACATACATACATACATACACATGTATGGCTGGACATACATGTGTATGTATATATGTATACACACATGCATACATATATATATATATATATATATATGTATGTATATATACACACACACACACCGGGGGACAGGGCTGGTGGCTCCCAGGACGGCCCCTCAACGTGCCATGGGGGCCCCCGAGCCCCAGGAGCGCGCCGGGATCGCGCCGGGAGACCGACGACGCCCCAGAAGGCGCCAAGGGAGCTCCAAGAGCGGTCCAGAAGGCCTCCAAGACAGCCACAGAGCGCTCCAAAACGCCCAAGATGGCCTCAAGATGGCTGTCGCGAGGACGTCCTAGGCGGTCCAGTGTGCACCCCTTCTTTTGTTGTTCGATATGCGCACTACAGCGCTGAGAATATGCTGTAAAACCTGTCCGCCCAGATTGTGCGTTTGAAGTTGTTTTAAGACATTAGACGGAGGAGGAGGACGAGGAGGAGGACAAGAGTAAATCCAAGACGCATCAACGATGTTGCAATGAACTTTCCCTCCAAGCTCCCTCTTCATAGGCCGCTACATGTTTTTTTCATTGGCAAGTGCCCCATTAGAAGACAACCGTCTGAGAGTTCTCAATCGTGCCAAAACACCAGGCCTGGAACTTCAGCGCCACGAATCAGCGTGACTAGTGCATCCGGACAACCCGAAATGGCACTAGAACGCCATTCGTGTGAGTTCAACACCGCGAAGCAAAGTGACTGTTGCACCCTGACAATCCGAAATCGTGCCAGCACATCATTCCTGGGACTTCAGCCCTACGAAGTCTTGGATCTGCTGCAAGCTGTCAAGACGAATGCGCGCGGCGCGAAGGCGAGAGCCACATTCTGAAAATGAGCCGAACTCGATCCTTGAACATGTTACAAATCTATACGACGAATGTGCGCTGCTCTAGCGTGAGCGCCGCACCGCCCTCTATTGTCGAATGTCGTGTAAATCTGTTGAAGACGCGCGTGCGCGGCACTGAGGCGAGAGCCACACTTCGACAAGGAGCCGCACTCCGTCCCTGCAGCTGCTGCACGCTTCGAAACCGAATGTGCGCGGCGCTGGGGCGAGGGCAACACCTTCAAGCACACAACCCGCCCTCCGTCCGCGAAGCCGCTGCAGACTCTCCGCTTCAGGATCCCTCCCACCGAGGAGGGCTCGAGCGCAACGACCGGGCCGCCCTGCCGGCACGCACACGACGGGGCGAGGCCCGTCGCGAGACGGAGGGATGAAGGGGGAGGACGGGGGAGCCGAGGAGGACGGGGGAGGGAGCGAGAGGAGGGAGGATGAAGGGGGAGGGAGCGAGAGGAGGACGGATGAAGGGGGAGGACGGGGGAGGGAGCGAGAGGAGGACGGGGGAGCCGAGGAGCCCACCGCGCCCCCCCCCGCGCCGCGGCCCCCCCCCCCCACCGCAGGAGAGCTCGGTGCTCGGGCCCCCCCCCCCCGCGACGAGCTCTGGCCCGAGACCTGCCCCCACGGCACCCCACCGCGCCCCCGACCACGTCCCGCACGCCGACCCCACGGGAGCTCAGCTCTCGGGACGCCCCCCCAAAGGACAAGTGCTGGCCCGAAGCCGGCCCACGGACGCGGGGTGAGGAGGCGGAGCAGGAGGGAGAAGGGAGGAGCAGGAGGGAGAAGCGCGGAGGCAGGAGCATGAGGGAGGAGGATGATGGGGGATGGAGGAGGAGGAGGAAGAACAAGAGGAACAAGAGGAACACGAGGAACAAGAGGAACAAGAGGAAGAGGAGGAGGCCGACGACGACGCCGACCTCCTCCACCTCGATCTTCCCCAGGCCTCCAACGGCGCTCTTTCTTCCCAGCGGGGGCCCCTGGAGGTCTGGCACCCGGCCCTGGGGCCGACCTTCCATCCCGCGTCGCCTTGATTGGGGCCCCGTGGCCCGGCGAGGGCCCCCGGGGAGGCCCAGGGTCGCTCGGAGCCTTCCCGTCGTGCTCCTCATCGCGCTGCGGGCATGCCTGCGAGCGCCGCTTCGCGGCCCCACGGGGCGCGCCACCGACCCCGACGGCGGCGGGGTCCGCGTGGCGCCCCGCCCCGTCGGCACGCCCCTCCCGCTTCGTGGGGTCCCCGTGGCCTCGTGTGCACAGGGGTCCTGCGTGTACAGTCGGGGCCCTGAAGAAGGAACCCTCTTCGTTGGGGAGGGGCTCCGCGTTCCTGAAGTGTTTCACAGCTTGCCTCAGGCTTTAGGTTGACTTATGGAAAAAAGGGGCCTCGTTCCTTATTTCGGGTTCCTTAGGTCAAAGCCCCGACTGTAGCCGCCTCGTGTGTCTGGAAAAGGTTGGGTTTCCTTGGCCAGGCGAGCTGTCGCGGCGCGGGCATGTCTGGGCGAGGAGAGCCGGGAGCGAAAGAGGGACGTTCACGTACACGAATCCACGCTCTGTCTTCGAAAGCACGCATGGCGCGAGCGATCGTGACAGCGAGACTGGTCTCGCGGATTTGGGGTGCCGTCTTCCGTGCGTCCTTCTCTTGGCATCGCTCGGACGTGTGCATTTGTCCTCGAGCGAGGACCATCGAGGAGCATCCTTGATCATTTGGGGGAAAAACCACGCGCGAAACCGACAAAAAAACACAGGGGATGGCCGTCCGAGCGATGGCCAGTTTCGGGGGCTCCCCGGAGACACAGGGGCGCGGGCCTGCCTGGCGCGGGGATCCGGCGCTGGGGGGAGCACCCGGGGGCGCGGGGCCGCTCCTCGGGGCTGCGGGCGGGCGAGCGACGCTGGGTGCTGCCAGAATCGGCTGCCAAAAAAAACAACGATGAGTTCATGCATAATTTTACTCCTAAATTAACCTCATGCCCGTGAGAATAAACACTAGGGGATAATAAAGTTCGGGGTTCAGGGAGAGATAATAAAAGTAGCCCAGCAGACCTCAGCATAATCTCGAAGTAAGAGATGATCAAGAGGAGACCAAGCCGAGCACGTTTTGAGACATCCTTGGCGTTTAGTTTTCATAGAAATATCCTCAACAATGGCTTATCTCGCTGGAGACATCCTCGACAAATCCCTCATTTCGCTTGAGACATCCTTAAGAAACGCATCGTTTCGCTTCAGACATCTATATGCTTGTTTCGCTTCGAACATTCTCGAGTATATGCTTGTTTCGCTTGAGACATCCTCGGAATAGCTCATCCGCCTCGGCGTCCCTAGATAACCAACGGCGGCGATAATAAAGTTCAGGCGGGCGGAGGAATGGAGGAAGCTATATATAAAAAAGAAAAATAAAAATAATAAATAATAAAATAAAAGAAATGTTAGGAGGAGGAGAAGGAGGAAAAGAAGAAAAAACCTCGAGTTTCAAATCTATTAGATTTTATTTACAAGCGCTTTATGAAAATTGTTTTTGGTAAGTGCTCGTGTAGGGTAGCTCATGTGCCTCAATTTCCATGGATAATCAACCCCAGAGATAAAAAAGTTCAGGCGAGCGTGGGGACAGAGAGAAATATAAAAGAAGAAGAATACAGTAGAAGAATAATAAGAAAGAAGAAGAAGAGGAGAATAAGAAGAGGACGAAGAAAGGAAAAATCCAAAGTTCCAAATCTATCAATTTTAATTTACAAACGCTTTATGAAAATTGATTGTTTTAAGTGCTCGTGTAGGGTAGCTCATGTGCTTCATTTTCCATGGATAATCAACCCCAGGGATAAAAAAGTTCAGGCGAGCGTGAGGACATATAGAAATATAAAATAAGAAGAGGAAAGTCGAAGAATAATAAGAAGAGAAGAAGAAGAGAAGAAGAAGAAGAGAAGAAATACGGAGAAATGGAAAGTTCCAAATCTATCAATTTTAATTTACAAACGCTTTATGAAAATTGATGTTTTAAGTGCTCATGTAGGGTAGCTCATGTGCTCCCCTTTCAATGGATAATCAACCCCAGAGATAAAAAAAGTTCAGGCGCGCGCGGGGATAGATACATATATAAAAAGGAAGATAATAAAAAATACAAATAAAAAGAAAAAACTTCCTGGTTTAGCTTGAAACATCCTTGAGACATCCTTGGAACATTGCTCGTTTCGTTTGAGTCTGCCTCCCATTTTTTTGGTTTCGCTTGAGACATCCTTGAAACATTGCTCGTTTCGTTTGAGTCTGCCTCCCAAAATTTTCGGTTTCGCTTGAGACATCCTCGAAACATTGCTCGTTTCGTTTGAGTCTGCCTCCCAAAATTCTTGGTATCGCTTGACACATCCTGAAAAAGTGTGATCGCTTCGCTTGATGTTGCTATATCAACATCGCTTGATGTTGCTATCTCAACATAGCGTTTCGAGGTGATAATGAAGTTCGGCCTCAGCGCTCGCCGCCCAATTTGAATTTTGTATAGGGCGACGATAATCAACTCTAAACACTGAAGGGGGGGGTCCCTTTATTATCATCGGCATGCGGTTAATCCTGGATTAAAAAATCAGTATGTAAAAAAAAAAAAAAAAAAAAAAAAAAAACTATGTATTAAAGACTACCCTGTAGACTATGTGCGTCGCCCTCCCCGGGGGGCGACGCGCGCACCGAGAAATCGTGTAGCATATGCGTCGTGGCGGGCGCCTTCTGGCCACGCCGCTCGGGAAGCGATATGCTACAAGATGGGTCTGCTATATGTTCGGTTCGGACGCGCGCCTCCAAGGCGGACATATAGTACGAGTATGTCTTTGTGCGTCCCATAGAAGTGCCCCTGGATTCCAAGGATTTCCAGGAGGCCCTCAGGCTGCCCAGGAGTTCCAGGGAGGCCCCCATGGCCTCCAGAGAGCCCCTCACAAGGCCCTTGGTATCGCTCGGGCGTGTGCACTTTTGCTCGGCGGGGACTATTAAGGAGCATCCTGGATCATCCTGCGAAAAAAACCACGCACGAAACCGAAAAAGACACAGGGAATGGACATCCGAGCGACGGGGAGAGGCCCAGAAGGCTCCAGGGGGCTTGGAGCTCAAAGCTGGGGCACCTTGGGCCAGGGCGAGAACGCACCACAGCCCCTGGACCTCAGAGAGCCCCTCACGAGGCCCAGAGGGCCTTAGGGCCCGGAGCGAAAAGCTGGGGGCACCTGGGGCAAGGGGCACCTTTTGACAACCATTGACGGCGAGAACGCGCCGCAGCGTCCGGACATCGGGAAAGAGTCCGAGCACGAGGGCGACGGGACGACGCGCACGAGGCGGCCGACCGGCGGCGCCGCGGTGCGGCGGGCGCGCGCTCCCGGCTCTCGATGCCCGAGAGTCCTGCCGCCGCGGCGCGCGGGAGCCGCCCACGCCTGAGGCGTGGACGCCCTAAAGGGGTTCGGAAATGCGGCATTTCCGAACCCTTTTAGGGCGTCCACACCTTCCTCCTCCTCCTCCTCCTCCTCCTCCTCCTCCTCCTCCTCCTCCTCCTCCTCCTCCTCCTCGGCCGATCCCTTTGGGCCCACTCCTGAGATGTTGGCGAAGAGCTGGGGGCACCTTGGAGCATGGGGCACCTCCAGCAGCCCCCGACGTCGGGGCTCGCGGCAGGGCTGCGGCCGCCGCGGGGAGGCCCTGGCCACGGGAGGCCCGCGGGGGCTGCCAGAGGAGCCCGGCGTGCCAGGCCCCCCCCCCTGGACGCCCACGATCAGGGGAATGAGCATACCGACGCCGATGCCCGGGCTCGAGCTAGGCGGTGTTTTGGTGCCGTGCCGCAGCAGAGACAGAGCGAGCACAGAACGAAGCAGAACGAGGACATGACGGAAACGAAAAGCACTGTTCGGCTCCAGCCTTGTCCGATGCCAATCTTGTTCTGGTCACTCCTGTGTTGCCCTCCTCCACATCCTCCTTCCTCCGCGTCCTCCTCCGCCCTCCCCATCCCCCCTCCCCCTCTTCCTCCCCCGCGTCGTGGAAAAGTCATGACGGAAGATTTTTCATTGCTCTTGGCCTCTGGGGGCCATGATTTGGCCTCGGGACCGTCAAGTCATTGTTCTGGATGAAGTACCCCTTCTCAGGAAGGGGCCCACATGTTCTTGTTTGGGGTCGCATGGGCACAGAAATCCTGGCGTCGGGGGTCATAGGGGAAAATCCAGGCGCTGCGATTTCTACTCACGCCCTGCTCCGGGCTCCGGGACCATCACAGATCCATCCCTTGGCATCGCTCGGACGTGTGCATTTTCTTTCGGCGAGGACCATCGAGGAGCATCCTTGATCATTGGGGGAAAAACCACGCACGAAACCGACAAAACACACAGGGAATGGACGTCCGAGCGGAGGCCAGATCCAGCTCGGCGAATGCCTCCGAGGGCTGGGCTTTGGGGTCTCTGGGGCTCCCCGGTCGCCATGCTTCGCGACGCGGTCTCTGTTTTGCAGCGTCGGGCCGAAGGGTTCGGTGGGGTGCGGCGCGGCGCCCCGGCCGGTGTCCTGGGACTCCTGGAGGGGACCCCCGCCGCCCCCCAGCCCCCGGTGCGGGGGAGTCCCTCGCGTGACGTGAATCATCAGGGTGCGCGAGGAAGCGCAGCAAGGCAGGCAGCTCGAGTAAGGAAGGGGAGGGAGGGAGAGGGAGAGAGGGGGAGAGGGAGAGAGAGAGGGAGAGAGAGGGAGAGAGAGAGGGGGGTGGAGGGAGGGAGAGAGTGGGCAGCGGGCAGGCAAACCCAACACAGAGAGAGAGAGAGACAGACAGACAGACAGACAGAGACAGAGACAGAGACAGAGACAGAGACAGAGACAGAGACAGAGACAGACAGACAGACAGGCGGAGAGGGAGACAGACAAACAGACAGAGAGGGAGGGAGGGAGGGAGAAGAGGAGGAGGAGGAGGAGGAGGAGGAAGAGGAGGAGGACAGGGAGGTGTAAAATATGGGGGGGGGGGGGAACGAGGAGGAAGATCAGGAGGAGGGGTAGGAGAGGGCGGAAAACAAGAGACCGCACCGCGGAGGGACAAGGGGGCAGACTGAAGCGAGGGAGGCGACGGGATGATGCCAGTCGCGACTCCCCCCGACCCGTCCAGGATTCTGGGACGCCCCAGATAAACATCTTCTGGCACCACGCGCGCTGCATGTTCAACACGTTCTTGGGCCGCCCTGAAGATCTCTTCTTGTTTTACGTAGGGTAAAGGCAGAGCAGTACGACATGGACCAGCACCAGCTGGCCGGTATCTGGTACGATGCCAGCCATCATCGAAGGGTAGATAATATCTGAAAAAAGCGTGCTCTGCCGCTGCTGGCAGAAAACCGGGGGGTGTCACTTGGGGGTGCCAACCCGTCCCCCCACCCCCTCGAAAACTGGGGGGGTCACTGGGTGTTCCAACCCCTCCCCCCCCCCGGCCCATCATGAAAAGAGGGGGGGTCACTACTAGTTCGAACGCACACACACACACACACACACACACACACTCCTCGCCGCCGGCAAACGACTCCTTCCCCTCCCCCACTCCGGATGGGGGATTCGGGTGGGGACAGTGGCTGGGACGGTGGTGGGTATGGTGGTGGGGAGTGGGACAGTTGGACAGAGGTGGGGACAGTGGGGACAGTGAGGAGTGGGACCGTGTTGGGGACAGTGGTGGGGACAGTGGGGACAGTGGGACAGTGATGGGGGCACTGGGGGGGACAGCGGTAGGAAAGTGGGGACAGTGGGACAGTGGTGGGGACAGTGGAGTGGGGACAGTTGGACAGTGGTGGGGACGGTGGTGGTGGGAACAGTGGTGAGGGGACAGTGGGACAGTGGTGGTGGGGACAGTGGTGAGGGCGTATGGGGCAGTGGTGCAGTGGGGAGAGTGGTGGGGACAGTGGGGACAGTGGGACAGTGGTGTGGACAGTGGGGACAGTGGGACAGCACAGAGGGGCAGCGGTGGGGACATTGGGACAGTGGTGGGGACAGTGGGGACAGTGGAACAGTGGTGGTGACAGTGGGGACTCTGGGGACAGTGCGACAGTGGTGGGGGCACTGGTGGGGACAGTGGTGGGAAGAGTGGGGACAGTGGGACAGTGGTGGGGACGACAGCGGGGACAGTGGAACAGTGGTGGAGACGGTGGGGACAGTCGGGGCATTGGGACAGTGGTGGGGGCACTGGTGGGGACAGTGGGAAGAGTGGGGACAGTGGGACAGTGGTGGGGACAGTGGGGACAGTGGGACAGTGGTGGGGATAGTGGTGGTGGGGACAGTGGTGAGGGGACAGTGGAACAGTGGTGGGAACAGTGGGGACAGAGGGGTGGGACAGTGTTGGGGATAGCGGGGACAGTGAGGACAGTGGGACAATGGTTGGGACAGTGGTGGTGGGGACAGTGGTGAGAGCGGTTGTGAGGACGGTGATGGGGACCTGGCAGTCGTCTGCCGGCGGCGAAGAAGGGAGTGGGGGGGGTGGGGAGGGGGGGATTCGAACCGGTAGTGACCCCCCTCGGTTTTCCAGGGGGGGGTGTTCGAACCGGTAGTGAACCCCCCCCCCCCGGTTTTCCGAAGAGGGGGGGGGGGGTGCATGGGGGGAGGGGTTCGAGCAGGGGGGGTGGGGGAGAAGGGGTGGGGGGACCCCCAGGTTCCAGAAGAAGAGGGGGGAGAATTTGCCATAGCAAAGGGGCCTTGGATCACGCTCTCTCTATATCGAAGACGCCTACGGCGAATCACCGCCGCCCCCTGCCTTTTTGGCAGCGCCTGTGTGGCCGAACGTTGAGGCCAGACCTGCCAAGCTATCGGACCATGTGGTCCCCGAATCGGTTTGGAAAGCCTTCGGGGAACACGTGGGCATCTTGAAGGTCATCTTGGCCGTCTGGAGGCCATTTTGACCCTTTCGGGCCTTCTTGGAGGACGTTTTGGAGGGCTCTTGGGCCGTCTTGGAGGCCATCTTGAGCGTCTTAGAGGCCTCTGGGGCCGTCTTGGGGTCCTCTTGGGGCCGTCTTGGGCCTTTTGGGCGATCTTTGGGGGCACTGGGGCCGTCTCGGGCCGTCGGAAGGCCGAACAAAAAGCAAGTGCCACAATCCTTCAAAAACTCATGGGAAATCGATAAGTTTGGCCTTTTCGGGTCTTCCTGGAGGCCCTCTTGGTGGGCTCCTGGCCCGTCTGACGCCGTCGGAAGCCGTTTGGGCCCTCTCTGGGCCGACTTGGGGCCCTCTTGGAATGCTCCGGGGCCGTCTTGGAGGCCATCTTGGCCGTCTTAAAAGCCTCCTGGGCCGTCTTGGGGGCCTCTTGGCCCGTTCTGGGGCCATCTTGGAGGCGTCTTGGGCGATTTTTTGCAGATTTGTGGGGGCTCTTGGGCCGTCTCGGGCCGTCGGAAGGCCGAAAAGAAGCAAATCCTTCAAAAACCTTAGGAAAATCAGTGTTTGCTTATACCTTTTCTGGCCTCCCTGGAGGCCCTCTTGGAGGCCGTCTTGGGCCAGCTTCGAGCCAACTTCGGCCATCTTGGTGTGTTCCTGGCCTGTCTGACGCCGTCGGGAGCCGTCTTGGGGGCCTCTCTGAACCGGCTTGGAGCCCTCTTGGGGCGCTTCGGGGCCGTCTTGGAGGCCATCTTGGGCATCTTGGAGGCCTCTTGGCCCGTCTTGGGGCCTTCTTGGGGCCGTCCTTGGGGCCTCTTGGGCCGTCATGGGGCCATATTGGAGGCCTCGTGGGTGATCTGGAGGCGATCTTGGGGGCCTCTTGGGCCGTCTTGGACAGCGGGAAGCCTTACAATAAGCATCTGTCAAAATCATATGAAAAAAAAACCATGGACAATCAATGATTTTGGCCTCTTCGGGCTCTCCTGGGGGACCTCTTGGCACCCTCTTGGGCCATCTTGCAGCCATCTTGGCCCGTTCTGAACATCTTGGACCCTCTTGGGCCGTCTTGGAGGCCATCTTGGGCGAACTTGGAGGCCATCCTGGGCCATCTTGGCTGTCTTGGAGGCCATCTTGGGCCAACTTGGGCCAACAAGGCATCGACAGATGCGTTTTGAGATCCTTCCCGGGACCCCAGCGGGACGCGCCGGAGCCCCAGGAGGAGTTCTTTTGGAAAAGAACCAAAACCAAAACCGAAGTCATTTGGCACGCCAGGCACCCCTGCGATGAATCGACAGGCGGCGGCGGATCGAAGACGCCTACGGCGAATCACCGCCGCCCCCTGCCTTTTTGGAAGCGCCTGTGTGGCCGAACGTTGAGGCCAGACCTGCCAAGCTATCGGACCATGTGTTCCCCGAATCGGTTTGGAAAGCCTTCGGGGAACACGTGGGCATCTTGAAGGTCATCTTGGCTGTCTGGAGGCTATTTTGACCCTTTCGGGCCTTCTTGGAGGACGTTTTGGAGGGCTCTTGGGCCGTCTTGGAGGCCATCTTGAGCGTCTTAGAGGCCTCTGGGGCCGTCTTGGGGGCCTCTTGGGGCCGTCTTGGGCCTCTTGGGCAATCTTTGGGGGCACTTGGGCCGTCTCGGGCCGTCGGAAGGCCGAAAAAAAGCAAGTGCCACAATCCTTCAAAAACTCATGGGAAATCGATAAGTTTGGCCTTTTCGGGTCTTCCTGGAGGCCCTCTTGGAGGCCTCTTGAGCCATCTTAGGGCCATCTTAGTGCCATCTTCGGCCGTCTTGGTGGGCCCCTGGCCCGTTCGACGCCGTCGGAAGCCGTTTGGGGAGCCTCTCTGGGCCGACTTGGGGCCCTCTTGGAATGCTCCAGGGCCGTCTTGGAGGCCATCTTGGCCGTCTTAAAAGCCTCCTCGGCCGCCTTGGGGGCCTCTTGGGGCCGTCTTGGGGGCCTCTTCGGCCGTTCTGGGGGCCATCTTGGAGGCGTCTTGGGCGATGTTTTGCAGATTTGTGGGGGCTCTTGGACCGTCTCGGGCCGTCGGAAGGCCGAAACGAAGCAAATGTCAAAATCTTTCAAAAACCTAGGGAATCTAAATGTTTTGGGCTTTTTCTGGCCTTCCTGGAGGCCTCTTGGAGGCCTCTTGGGCCGTCTTGGGCCAGCTTCGAGCCAACTTCCGCCATCTTGGTGGGTTCCTGGCCTGTCTGACGCCGTCGGAAGCTGTTTGGAGGGTCTTTCTGGGCCGACTTGGGGCCCTCTTGGGGTGCTCCAGGGCCGTCTTAGAGGCCATCTTGGGCGTCTTGGAGGCTTCTTGAGTCGTCTTTGTGCCCTCTTGGGGCCGTCTTGAGGGCCTCTTGGGCAGTCCTGAGGCCATCTTGGAGGCCTCTTGGGCGCTGTGGGGGCGATCTTGTGGTCCTCCTGGGCCGTGTTGGGTCGTCGGAATGCCGAGAAGAAGCAACTGCCAAAATCCTTCAAAAACCCTAAAGAAAATCAACGATGTTGGCCTCTGCGGGCCCTCCTGGAGGACCTCTTGGAGGCCTCTTAGGCCGTCTTGGGCCGTCGTGGAGGCTTCTTGGGCGAACTTGGAGGTATCTTGGACCTTCTTGGGCCGTCTGGGAGGCCATCTTGGACCATCTTGGCCGAGCTTGAGGGCCATCTTGGCCGTCTTGCAGGCCATCTTGAGCCGTCTTGGAGAATGTGTTGCGGATGTTGAGGTTGTTTCCCCCGGCGGGACGGGCCGAAGCCCCAGGGGGAGTTCTTTTTTGGAAAAAGAACCAAAACCAGAACAGCAAGAATCTAGCACGCCAGGCACCCCTGCGATGAATCGACAGGGGCGGCGGATCGAAGACGCCTAATTACGGTGAATCACCGCCGCCCCTTGTCCCTTTGGAAGCGCCTCTGTGGCCGACAGCTGAGCCAGAGCTTGGCCAAGCTATCGAGCCAGTTGTTCCCCGAGTTGGTTTGGAAAGACTTCGGGGAACGTATGGGGGAGCAAGAAGAGGAGGAGGGGGAGGATGAGGAAAAAAAGAGGAGGAGGAGGAGGAGGCCTCTTGGGGCACTCTTGGGGCCTCCTGGGAGCTTCCTGGGGGCCTCTTGGAGGGTTTTGGGGGGCCTTTGGAGGCTTCTTGGGGGCCTCTTTGGCCGTCTTAGGGCGTTCCTGGCTTGTCTGACGCCGTCGGAAGCCGTCTTGGGGGCCTGTCTGGATCGTCTTGAGGCCCTCTTGGGGCATATCAGGGGTTCTTAGAGGCCATCTTGGGCGTCTTGGAGGCCTCTTAGGCAGTTTTGGGGTCCTTTTGGGGCCGTCTTGCCATCTTGGAGGCCTCTTGGGCGATCTTGGGGGCCTCTTGCGCCGTCTTGAGGCGTCGGAATGCAGAGAAGAAACACATGTCAAAATCTGTCAAAAACCTTTTTGGAAAATCAATGATTTTGGCCTCGTCGTGCCCTCCTGGAAGACCTCCTGGACGTCTTTGGGGCCGTCTTGGAAGCCTATTGGGGGCATCTTGGGCCGTCTTGGGCCATCTTGAGGCCATCTTAGGCCGTCTTGTGTGCATCGTGGGCCGTCTTGGAGGTATCTTGGGGCCATCTTAGCCCTTAGCCGTCTCGGAGGCTATTTTAGCCGTCTTGGAGGCCCCTAGGGCCCTCTTGGGGCCGTCTTGGGGGCCTCTTGGGCCGTCATGGGGCCATCTTGGAGGCCTCGTGAGCGACATTGGGGCCGTCCTGGGGCAGTCGGGAGCCGTCGGAAGGCCGAAAAGAAGCAAATGCCCAAATCTGTCAAAAACCGAAAGAAAATCAATGATTGTGGCATCCTCGAGCCCACCTGGAAGACCTTATAGAAACCTCTTAAGCCGTCTTGGAGGCCTCTTGGAGGCCTCTTGGGGGCCTCTTGCGCCGTCGGACGCCATCTGGAGGCCATCTCAGGCCGTCTTGGGTGCATCTTGGGCCGTGTTGCAGGCATCGTGGGGCCATCTTAGCCGTCTTGGAGGCCATCTTGGGCGTCTTGGAGGCCTCTTGGGCCGTCTTGGGGCCCTCTTGGGGCCGTCTTGTTTTGGGGGCTCTCTTGGAGGCTTAATGAGCCGTCCTGAAGCCATATTAGGGACACTTGGGCCGTCTTAGAGCGTCGGCGGCCGAAAAGGTGAGACCGCTGAGAATCTTCAAAAACCACCAGAAAGTCGTTGACATTTGCATCTAGGGGGCGTCTTGGGAGTGGTCTTGGAGACATCTTCGGGCGTCTTAGAGGCGGTTGAAGCCGTCTGGAGGCTATCTCGGGCATCTTGGAACGACTTCCGACGACTGGGCCCTCTTAGACCGCCTTGGGGGCCTTTGGAGACGCTCTTGAAGGCCATGAAGGCAGCCCCCAGGAGTTGCAGCATCCGTGACGGAGACCGGCCAGGGACCGCCCAGGATTTGCATGGGGTACTTTGTCTGGGGGCCCCCAGGGGCAGCCACGCGCACGCGAACTGGGAGTGCTCCAAAGCTGCTACCGGAGATGTTAGCACGCCTGCGGCCCGTTGGGCCGGCGCATGCCGCTCATGTTTCTCCTCTGTTCCCTTCGCCTTTGTGCTGTCGAGATATGGGAGCCCCTATCATGGCTTTTATCCAGTCCGTGCTGAGACGTCCGACCAGACACGTGGCATAGACGGGTCGCAGGAACCCGAGATGTAGCTAGCTCGCACCACTGGTTTAATTGGAGCCATAGTTCGGGTCGGGTGGGGCTGGGACGAGGATAAATCCGTTCGAGAGCGTTCCGGAACGCTCTCAGAGGGTTCCGGAACGTTTTGAGAAGGCCGCGGCGCCCGAGACATGTTCCATAGTTGCCGGATCTCAGAGATGCTTGATTTATCCTCACCCAATGTTGTACTTATTCTTGCTTTGTCTTATCGGGTGTATCCGGGGGAGGCGAGTCAGGCATGATGGCTATGATGGTCTAACGGCGGGTCAGGTTCCTGCGCTCCAGGAAGCAGACTCGCGTGATCCAGAGCGAAGGTGACATCGAGGGCTTCGAAGCGCTGATGCCCGAAGACCAGGACCTCGCAAGCAGCAGACAAAGGCTCAAGAAACATGCAGGGGGCCTGCGATCAGGGATCCACTCTGCAGGGGTCGGGGAGCAAGGAGCAGGCAGCAGGATCCTGAGTTCGGAGATGACTGGCACATCAAGGCTCTTGTCTTCTGGATTGAATGCATCGAGCGTGTGGCATGATGAGGCTCTACATGTGAGAAAACATGCGGGTGGCAACTATTATATTGCCTCCGGCGAGCCCTGCCTCCGCGCCAGCGCAGCAGCGCAGCAGCGCAGCAGTAAAAAACACGGCAAGTTTTGTGAATACCCCTTTCAAGCGCAGTGGCCTACCTGAACTGGTGCGGGTCCTAAACTCACGAACGAACAACACACACACACCCATACCCATAGGGGGGTCGTTGGGAGGAGGACTGGCTATGGGTATGGGTGCGGGTTGTCGGACCCTGGGGAACGCTCCCGTTCGAGCGGGGACCCCCATTCGACAACACGCACCCATAGCCCTCTCCGACCCCCCTATGGGTACGTCATAAACGCCAACCCCTACTGGCATCGTGGAGGCTTCTGCGGTGTCGGCGTGGGGGCCAGATAAGGCCCCGTCAGGGTCTCGAAGCCGCGGTGGCGCAATGGTTCCACCCAGCTCTTCCGAAGAGGCTCGACTGAGCCATCTGAGGGATGTCTCGGTGGGTCTTTTGCTGTCTTGGGGGCCTCCTGGACCGTCTGGAAGGTTTCTCTGGCCGTCGTGAGGCCCTATCAGAGGCTGTCTTGGCCGTCTCCGGAATTGTTGAGGTGTTTCTGAATCTTTCATGAACCAAAATGACGTTGGAAAGCCTTCAAATGAAGACACGTTCGGAGTTAAGTTGTCTTGCATCCACCAGGGCCTCGCCAGAGGCATTCATGGGAGCCTCTTGGGGATTTCCTGGTGCCACTTCGGCGGACGCCTTGGGGTCATCTTGGAGCCTCTGGGGGGTCGATGGGATACCTCGCGCTCAGGGGTGGTATTGGGCCATCCTGGAGCAGTCGGGAGGCTTTAACGGGAGCGGGGAAGCGAAAACAGGGGGGCGGATGCAATTCTCGGGAGGTTGCATTCAACATCGGCGCCAGTGTATCCTTTGTGAACGACCGCCTGATCCAGCATAGTCCTTCTTCCGTTGAATCCTATTGAATCCAGCCAGGTTCAATTCCAGACTTGATTTGGGCTAGTCTGGCCCAACGGCTCCGTATTCGGTTCAACGTACACCAACTGTTCTTAAGAGAACCTCCCATGGGCTGCCTCCTAACAAAGACTAGGTGTCGCTCCGGGGGGAGAAGGAGCATAGTGAGGAGGGAAAGAGAAGGCCTCTTGGGGGCTTCCTGGGCGCCTCTTCGGGCCTCTGGGGGGCATCTTGGGGCCTCTTGGCGGCGTCGACGCGCCGCTTGGCCTTCGGAGGCCGTCTCTGGCGCTCTCACTAGGCTGTCTTGGGGCCCTCTTGGTGCCCTTTGGGGCTGGGGGGGGGGGGGGGGGCAAACGGGAAGGGAGGAGAAGGTGGAGCGAGTGTTCCCCGAAGCTGCGCGTTCAAGCTTCGGAGAGTGCGCGTGGAGGTGGCCGAGGAGGAACGATGAGGAGGAGGCGCCAAGGGAACGTGCATGGTGGACGGACGGCAACGGGAGGGCAATACCGTCAAAACTCAGAGTGAGGACGCACAGTCGTCTTTAGGATACCCTTGCGTCCTTGCCTCTGCGGCCCCTCCTTTGCGGTTTTCACGGGCCAGCCTTTAGGGGTGTTGGCAGCCCGCCGCCCCAAAAAAGTGTCATCTTCGGCATACAAGGCCCTTGCGTCATTACCGCCCGTCGTTATCATACATTACACCGGGGAAAAGCCCACTCAAAGAGCATTGTGCATAACAAGTGAGACGACAGATATAAAGACTTACTAAGCGAGAGAGAGAGAGAGGGAGAGAGAGAGAGAGGGGAATAAGAGAGAGAGATAGCATAAAACGGAGAAGAGCATCAGACATAACGATTAGATAATGTCTTGCGTGCCGGGGAAACATGGAATAGTGAGACTGGTATAGAGAGATACCACTATAGAGAGAGAGAGAGAGAAACAAAACCAACAAGAAAGAGAGAGAGAGAGAGAAACAAAAAAAAGAGAAAGGGAACGCCCATCAACAGCGCTGATGTAGAGAGACACCAAGAGACATAGCGAAAGAGAAAGAGGGGGCGCCCACCGAACGCCGCCAACCGAGAACCGCCCACCGAAATCGGCTGGCTACTTTCGCCAATCTGTTCTATGTCCGCTGGGACCCTTTCAGTGCAAACACTGATTGGGGAATTTCGACTGTAGACGTGGTGGGATCGTGGACTGCAGGGAGGCGGTCCTAAGGGGGCGCTCAACTGCCACCGCGGGCCCCAAGGGCGCACAAAGGTTACGTGTTTCGTCACCCCTCGCGCGGCCGCCCCAGTCTTCTTCCTTCCTCCTGCACGCCGGACAATTCGCCTTCAGGTTGCCCCGACGAGCTGGCTGCCAGGGGCGCGCTTGCGTCGTCACCAGAGCACAGTCAACCCGCATAGTAAGGATGGGCAACCTTCCCAAGGGTACCCTTGCATCCTTGCCCCCTTAGCGGCCCATCCTTGGCCGCTTTCGTTGGCCGCGCCCCGCTCGAAAAGCTTCGGAATGGGCGCCCAAGGCCCTTGCATCCTTATCGGGCATCCTTACTATACGGGTTGACTGCAACCCTGGCCGATTGAGCCAGGGTTTGCCGCGCTGCGCGCTGCTCCGCATCGCCTTCGCGTTCGTGGGGATGGCCCGCGGCGAAGCGCGGATTTGGCCGCCACAGGAGGCGCACCACGGGCCCTTTGTGGCACCTCCCCCTCCACCTCCTCCTCCTCCTCCTCCTTCTCCTCCTCCTCCTCCTCCTCCTCCTCCTCCTCCTCCTCCTCCTCCTCCTCCTCCTCCTCCTCCTCCTCCTCCCTCTCCCCCTCCTCCTCCTCGACGCAGCCTTGCGGAATGGTTCAGTCCAGACCGCCTCGAAAGAAGGGGGGGGCAAACGCCTCCCCCCCGCGACCCCCTAGAGCTAGGAGCCGCACCGCCGGCGGGGCCCGAGGCACGAGGAGGAGGGAAGGAGAGCGAGGAGGAGGGGGGAAAAGAGGAGGCGCCGGCCTCACACGTGCTGCTCGATGAGCAGCACCGACCACCGAAGGTGGCCAGCCCCCATGCCTCCCTGGCTCTTCCTGCACCAGGGGACACAGGCTACCCCACGTCACCGTGCGGGGCACACGGCGCGTGTTTCCGCACATGGGTAGCCAGGCCCGCCCCCACAGGCCCCCTTGCCCAAGGGAGGCCAGGCGGTACACGTCTTGAGCCGCACTCCCGAAGGAGCCGACCCCTCTGGTCACACCCGACACCCCGACGTCAGGGGCGGGCCCCAACAGTGACCAGAGCCAGCCCCCACGCAGGCTGGTACCACGCGGGCCGACGCGGACTGGAGAACCAGCCCGCGCCAGCCCTGGGGGGTTACCCACGCGGCCCTAGAACGTCGGGTCCCCGGGGGGCCGCCCCAGGCCTGTCAGGGCACCAACGCCCCAGGGCCACGGCGCCGCAAGCGACGACATGGCGGATTGCAGTTCCCCCAAGGGCCCCGATGCGTCGCCCCGCACCGAGGTCACCCCCTGGGGGCACCTCCTCCTCCTCCTCCTCCTCCTCCTCCTCCTCCTCCTCCTCCTCCTCCTCCTCCTCCTCCTCGTCCCTCGGGGACTTGGGGGGGCATCGTGGAGCGTTCAGGCCTCTTGAGGCAGCCGGAAGCCCTCGCGGGCCATCCCGGGGCCACGCAGGCGCCGCGCTGCCCGTCCATGGAGGGCACCCCGGACCGACGTCGAGGGGCCACGTTGGCCGTCCTGGGGCCCACAGCTGGCCTCTGCTTACCAGCCTCGAGCGTATCCCTATCCCTGCCTAAGATTGACAGGCCAAAAGGCGATGACAATCTCAGGGACTCGCCCTCAAAAAAGAAGGGAATCCCTGAGATTGGCATCGTGATGAGGAGGTGCCCAGCCTAGGGATAGGGATATGTTCCAGGCTGGTAAACTGCAGCCGTCATGCGCTGGGCCGTCTGGCGGCTGTCTCCGGGGGCCTCCGCGGCCGGCCTGGGGGCGACATCGGGGGGCCGATGGGGCCTGGCGGGGCCGTGGGAGGCCAGGGCGGCCGAGGGCTCGAGAGCCCATGGAAGGACCCATCGGGATCCTCTCTGGGGGCCTCTTGTTTTCGGCGCACCGCATCGCCTTCGTTCCCCATCCTCCCTCCTCCTCCCTCCCTCCTCCCTCCTCCCTCCTCCTCCCTCCTCCCTCCTCCTCCTCCTCCCTCCTCCTCCCTCCCTCCTCCTCCCTCCCTCCCTCCCTCCTCCCCCTCCCGCCCTCCCGAGGCGACGCGTAAAAATGTTGGATGCTGTCTGTGGCCGACGCACGCTCGACGGCTCGACGCGGATCTGACGTCGATTCGATGCGCACTTTTATGTTTCACGTGGATTCTCAGGAGGGAAAGCACAGACACAATGAATCGTCGACATCCAGGAAAATATGGGAAAATATGGAAAGTGGAGGGGAGACGCACACCCAGAAAGTATTGACAAATATGAGGGATCCTGCTATTCGTGTCTACTTGTATGTGTCCCAGGGCCTCCTCAGTCCGAAGCGACGCGTAAAAACGTTGGGTGCTGTCTGCGGCCGACGCACGCTCGACGGCTCGACGCGGATCTGACGTCGATTCGATGCGCACTTGTATGTTTCACGTGGGTTCGCGGATCCGACGCAGAGAGATTTATGTCGGGCCTGTCCTTCTACAGGAGGAATCTACAACAATAGTAAAAACATAGTCTGGGGACGATTTCTCATTTGTTTAACAAGTTTGGTGCATGTTCTGAGTATGTTTGAATTGTCACCCAAAATCTGCCTGTAGGGGGACACGCCCGACCTAAAGATAGATGGTTCGTTCCAGAGACAACCTCTCTTTCGAGGGTTCTAAGGAGTTGACACTTC